AAAAAAAAAGCTCGTGGAAGCTGATGCCAAGGGTTCAACTAGAAATTAACTGTTTAGAAAATAATGATGGCAACTTATGTACAAATATGCTTGACACAATTGATGCATGGATTGTTATAAGAGCTGTAAGAGCCCTCAATAAAACGATCTTTTAATTAAAAAAAAAAGAAGAGGGGGAAGGCTCTAAAATTGATGTAAGGGTGATTGTACAATTCTCCGTGATATGACTGAACTATTGAAATATGCACATTACTTACACATTTTTAAAAAGAGAACAAGTTCAAGATCAAAGTCCTATGAGCTCTCTATCAGGTATCATGTAACAAGGAAGTTGAAAGAGGAAGGCGGATACATTGCATGTAAAGTTGATGGTTGAATGTGGGAATTCCTATAGGATTATTTCCAATTTCCCAGGAAAATATGGTTATTAGTTTAGGACTATAAAGGAGGCAGTCAGGAAGGGATATTTGAAGAGATTGGGAGGAGTATGATACAGATCCCCAGAACTCAAACTTATTAGAGAAACAGGTTTGCTAAAAGAGTGGAGAACTCATTTAAAGCATGTGACAAGAAATTAGAAGTGAAACTAGATGATACAGTTACATGATTTTTCTCCAATAATATCCAGTTACTTTGAAGTCGGTAGGGAAGAATTCAATTTGGGTTTCACTCATTAGGTGGTGGGCTGCTAGCCACAGGTCAGCAGTTCAAAACCACCAGCTGTTCCCTGCAGGAGAAAGATAAGGTTTTCTACTCCTGTAAAGATTCACTGCCTCAGAAAGCCAGAGGGGCAGTTATACTCTGTCCTACAGGGTGGAGATGAGTCGGAATTGACTCGATGGCAGTGAGCTTTTGGTTTTGGTTTTGGTTTTGGTACGTGCAACACACAGAGAGAAGAAAAAAAACTGGGGATTGTTGAAATCAGGGTCAGAGCATTGCACGACACCAGAAAATGCCGATCACCTAATACACGGTGTCTAAAAATTGAAAGGTAGACTTGAGGAAATGAAGTACTTACTAGATTTAACAACTATCATGATAGCTGTCAGGATTCAAATCCATCTCTGGTTGAGTCCAGAGACTACACATGGACAGTCTTTTCTACTTGGCCCTAGTTCACTTGAAAGATTCATCCAACAGTGATTTAAAAAATGAATAGCAGAAGCCTATATTCAAATATTTCAAATGGGGAGAAGTTTCCAACCCACCCCAGAACCCTAACCTATTTCTCGAAATAACAATACTCAAAAAGCCTATAAATCACCCTTCAAAAAAACTCAAATTATTTGTGGCATCAATCCACGTACAGGTATTTTTCCACCTTTCTAAAATACTATGCTGTGATTGAATAATAAAGTAAAACTTTCAGAACAAACTATTTGCCACAGGAAAAAAAATGCTATAAATGGTAGGTATGTGGACATACATGGTCAAGTTTACATCTTTTCACTTCTCAATAAGCTTTATCATCTCCAACATTTCTAATGCTCACATTTCCCCTACTCTCTTAGGCTCTATCTACTTTCTTCATAGGTTTTCTGATTGCTTAAAAAATATTTTTACTTTGTATAGGGGGACAATGAGACTGCTTTACACATTTAAACATGCTCATGAGATGTGAACTTACTGTGCGAATAACTAACTGCAATTACAGTGCAACTATGTTCTCTTGCTTGTTACTCATGAGCCACGTGCTTAACTACTTGTAGGATAGATAGTAATTTGGGGCAAAAATGGTGACAAGCTGTTTTAGCAAATCTCTGGACAGTAAAGTTCACAATGAGGGATACTGGACAGTAGAGTCCCAATACACACAGACACAGAAACTAGCAAAATGCCTGACAGCTTGACACTATTTGACAGAGATGCAAACAAACTTTTAGCAGAAAACCCATCAAGAAACTAAACACACACACACACAAATACAAATTTAAGAAGAGTCTTCTTAAAATACACTTCATACTATCAAAAATGTTTAGTGGCTCATTCCAGGGTACTCTTAACACAGTACACAATGTTGATATATGAATATCGACATGGGCGGCACAAATGGCTAAGCCCTTGTCTACAAACCAGTCTGTGGTTTGAGCCCACCAGTGGCTCCCACAAAGATTATAATCTAGGAAAAAAGAGGAGCTGTCATCAAGGGCTCAACAGAAAATAAATGTCTAGAAAATAATGATGGCAACACATGTACAAATGTGCTTGATACAACTGATGTATGGATTGTTACAAGAGCTCTAAGAGCCCTCAATAAAATGTAAAAAAAAAAAAAAGATTATAGCTTAGGAAATCCTATTTTGGGGGGGAGGAGCGCTCTACTATGTCATAGAGGTTCACTATGAGTTGGAATCCACTCAATGGCATGCAATACCATAGTTATAATATAAAAATAACCCAATAAAATCCAAGGTTACTAAAACCTTGGTGTACACATCATTCCCCGCCATGTCTCCATTTTTTTCAGTGTGATAGCTCTGTGATTGTTTTACGATAAAAAGTTAAGAACAAAACAAAACCAAAACCAGGTGAAAATATTACACCTTATGGAGGCTATTTTAAAGGTTTTATCCAGCTGTCACATTAAATATAAGCCATCTTCTTTATGCACCCCACGCTCATCTCCAATCTCACAAACTACACTGTCCTTCCCCAATGTCCAGAAATTTTAAGCCCATACTAATTAGTGTTAGGTATTTATTGAGTAAAAGAAAAAAGAAAAAATATATATACATATTAACATACAATTAAAGGAGGGGATTCCAAAATGTTGGAATACTTTGTTAGCTACTTTCACATTACTGTGATAATCTAATACAGGGTGACAATGTATTATATCCCTAAGTGAGATTTTAAATATTTATCTTTATTGGCAATTGCAACATCTTTACTTCACATATTCCAAAAACACATCAGTATGTTGCATGCATCAGGTGCTAAGTAAATGAGCAAATAAGCGAGGTTATCAATTACTAGTGAAATGAACAAGTTGTAGCTGGAAGAAAGATTAGTAATTAAACGGCGTATTTTCATTCTCTACTTTTAAAACAATACATATGCACTTTTATTGAGCTCACCCATTTGTTGAAAAAGGAGACAAAGCCATATCCCTTAGACTTTCCTGTTGCCATATCTTTAACCACTCGGGCGTCTCTGAAATCAGAAACAACCAGAAGTTTTAAATTGATAAACTGTTCTTTAGTTATAAAGTGAGAATTTCATATACAACTCATTTTCATGTGTCACCTTCATTAAAGTGAATCTTTAATGCAAACTCATTGTTTATTGTATAAATTATGTATTAGCAAATGAGTTTTAAATTTATAAACATGCAAATCAGTAACTTCTTAAATATGTATGTATACATTTTACAAAACTTTCTACCCACTTCAAAATGTTTTTTTTTAACTGTTAAATATTAAGCATGGTGAAAGCAGCTATTCACATGAATTATTTAACATTTACAGGTAGTAGATGAATGGCTTTCTTAACCATGTGATTTTACAGTTGGCTATTTGACACTATATTCTACCTCATCATTAAAAAATCATATGGAAAACTAGAAACTGAAAGAATGAAAAAGATATACTTCCCTAAGTTAATTAAGTTATTTCATTTTCTCAGATTAATTCTCACCCCAACCCCCCTTTTGGACCATGGGTAAACTGATAAATTTTGAGAACTTGCTATTTTTAGAAATGTTAAATCATTGAAGAAAAACACTAGACACACACCTTTAGCTTTACACTTTACAAGAGATCTTATACTGAATTTTATAATAGTAATCATAGAAGATTGATTGGAAACTACATGATATAAAAGGAAAATTTTTAAAAGTCAGAAAGTAAGAAAGCACGCCAACATTTGTCCACTGTGAACCGTAGCTTGTAGTTAGCCAGGGCAATCCTGTCCATTCTTCAGAGACTCTGCAAAATAACCAGAGCCCTATTATTTGAGATTGAGTCAAAACCCAGCCACGATAGCTAAAACTCCATACCTCAAAAAAGTGGACTCAAATTGTGCTTCACAGGCAATCTGCTTTTAAGTGAGCCAGGTTTGTCACAATGCTTGCTCTCTCAGGACACATGAACACAACAGGCACTTTCATAACAAAACCCAAGGCAGAAAACCATGCAATGTCACTTTATATTAAAATATACATAACCATATTTCAGATCAATTAGGAGTGACTTTTTAAGTGTTTGGGGTCAAAAAGCAAAGAGGTGGTGGTGAAAGGGATAAGGAACGCAAGTGATTTTTCAATATGTAAAAATATTTACTAAAAGATATGTATGGTACACACACATGCATTTAACTTCGCAGCTGATTCATTTCTAAGGCAAAATGTGCCACACTAACCTAAACTTAAGTTACAGGAAAAGTTCTAATCATATCAATTATGCAAGTACCATAATAGTTTTGATACAATATATTTTTTTAACAGGCCATCTGTTTTAGTGCAGCTTCTATAAACCAATCACTGTGATAGGCACTCTAAAGGGAAAAGCTCACGAGGGCCTTGCAGATGGTTCCCAATCTATTTCCTATAACCAAAAGAAAGAAAAAACAAAAACCAAAAAATCCCCAAGGACAGCAAGACGTGCTGCTGACTGCCAACATGTCTTTTGAAACAGGAACGCTAACCCCTTCTATAGCCATAAGCTCAGACAGTGTCTGAACTTATAAACTTCAACTGAAAATTATAAAACTTATAAAAAGGCCTTTCCAAGAAAAATCACTACATATCAATAATCATGGAGGATCATGAGAAAATCTATAGACTGAAAATATACCGATACGTTTACCAAAAAGAAATTATTGATTTCGGTAGTAAAATCACTAAAATTTTAGTATCACTTTCCTTAGGATTACTAATTGTAAGACAACTTTACTAATCTCAAACTAAAATTCCTAGGCTTTTTCAGAAAACTACTTTAATCAATAATGAAAGTATTTGAAATAAAGTAAAATAAAAAGGATTTGAGAAAATAGCTATTCCATCTACCAACAAAGTTAGAAAGGTTCTGTCTCTTTAAAGCTCAATTTCAGGAAAAGTTAGCCTTGAGATATAATCAACTCTGGACTCATTTCTCTCTGAAAGGATTCTCTGAGAAAGAAGCAGGCAGCGCTCTGGATCAGGGTTGTTAATCCTATGACAATAAATAAAATTTCAGGGATTTGTCACATCAAAATAAAAAAAATATGAAAATGTTGTATGCAGAGGTCTAGAGAGCCCTTCAGAGATCAAAGATTTAACACCACCTCATTTAAGATATTTAAAAGTTACCCAAATATTATCACAGCTTCAATGCAGATTAGGAGGAACAATCACATAATTAAATCTTCATTATATTCTTAACCAGTTCTCACACAGAAAAAGGTTTATAAAGCCCATTTATAAACTCAATTTCATCAATCTCTCTAAAGCTGGCCCCTTTAGTTACAGCCACATTGCTAGGTCACTGTTTTGGCATCTTACTAAATAAAACTCCCCCCAAATTCATTACGAATACTGATGGCAATCACTTCCCAAATTCATTACAAATACTGATGGCAATCACTTCCCAAACTCCTCACTGTTTCATCTCTGGTGATCAAACTAAGCTACACCCAACATTTCTTTATTACTGTACTTCTCATAGGAACCAAAATCATAAAGCAACCAGGAACTGGAAAATGATTTCTAAATTCAATAACTGCTTCTATTCTACAAAGTATTATAATAATCTTGTTGTTCTTACTGAAATATGGTTTTCAAAATAATAAAAGTATTCTACGTTGAATGCTTGCTACCTTCAGTGACCTATTTACAAAGGGCCTAAAATGTATTATTAATAACAAATGCAAGCAAGACAGTGCTTCACAAAATACTAAGACATCATTAAGTTAAAAAAAATAGGAGACATCAAAGAAATGTCATTCAACAACGACTTTTTAGATTGAATCATAGGGGTTTCTTTCATTTTCGAAGTAAATTGACTCAAAATGCCTGGTATCCTAAAAGTACCCAATTATTCCAACTCCTTAGGCATAGTTCAAGTTTACTAGCGATTATAACCAGGCTAGTAAGACATCTGGATAAAAAATTATAATACAGTAGTACAGTAGTAAATTTGTTTCTTTGAGGCTGATGATAACATAATGGGAAAATTATGTTGTTATCTATTTGAAATCGCTCAACAATGAAACCCATCTTATTGTTTAAAATTACCGCTCAATGTTCTCAGCAGAATCCTTTCCAGATTACTTATATATGTAAGATGGCTCCCAGTTGCAAGCATTTACAATTGATCTCCCATTACTTACGATATTCTTCCAAACGGTGCAAAAGCAGCTTTTATATCTTCAGTTGTAATTTCTGGACTGAGATCACCAACAAAGACATGGAAATGATCTTATAAAGGGAAGGAAGGGGAAGTGAAAAGAAAAATACAACTTTAGAATTAAAAAAGTACTAAAATCCAGTCAATAAATTATTCATAAAATTATTTGTGGATTAAAAAATGAAACAAAACAAAAATAACAATTTGTGGATTATCGTATAGTATATAACACTATTCTAAAACTATACAAATCCTATCCATTTTAGATATAATGAATCAAGGTAGACAATATGTAAAGATTTTCCTAAAAAGACTGATATACCTAACTTGAAAGTCGACAAGTTATATTTGAAAGCCAATTACTGTGCTGGAATAAGAATACAGACTAATGATAAATAACAAATTCATGTACTGGGGAAAAAATGTATGACTTATTCTAGTAATAATTATTTACTTTTATTTAGCTTACCACTATATTAAAATAAAACAGTGGTATTGTGAATTCTGTAGACTAGATTGGCCTCAGTTAAAACAATTTACTGAAGCTAGCTACATGATACACTTGGTTTAACCATATTTTGTGAAGAACAATCAAAGAAATACCTTGCATTGCAACAGTTTGATGTTAAAGTATTTGACAGTTTTCTCAAAAGCCAACAGTTTTGGTTGCCCAGACATTACACCATTCAGTTTATGTGAATCCATGTGCAAGTGAACTAAGACTGAAGGCAACAGAATGAAAACAGTAATCCCTTCACTTTACATCGTCATTAAAAAAAACAATGGAGAGAAATACGATCCTATATCTGAAGTTTGTTAAAAAAAAAAAAGACAATTCTCAAAAACAAAACAAAAAAAACACCAAGACACTTATAAATAGTTGGACCAACACTTCATAAAGGACACACACACACACACACACATATATATATATGTTTTTTTGGATAAAGTATATTTGGAAAGAAAAGTTACCCCTATTTGGCAGGCCTTAAGCAACATATTGGGTTGCCATTTGGGAAACACAGTTTCAGGAGCAACTCAAGCATTCTGAAGCTCTGGGTATGAAGCACGGATCGTGACCTCAAGGAAGCAGGGTATCTTGCCCTTTAGTTGATGAAATATTTCTAAGACATCAGCTGCTATCAAAGGGGTCAGAGAGCTTGAAATAGCACCAAAGTAGTGGACAAGCCACACTCAGTCAACACTGGGAAGAAGGGGGAAAAATATTGCCAGAGACAAATAGATATACGACCCTCCCCACCCCCTCCCCCAATATCAAACAAAAAAACTTCAGGTGGTTAGTGAATACCCTTTTCAAGAGATTTCATTTTATGTTTAAGAAGATACAATTACCTTGTGAACGCTGTGTGCTGACAACGGTACTACCTGATGACAAAGATTAGATTTGTTCTTAAATTTATTAACACAAACACATTAAATCATATCTTAGGATAACGATCAAAACATTACTGCAAATAAGTATGATGTTTATAAGCTTTATAACAAAAGTACTGTGTACAATAAAAAAAACGTTCAAAGGGTATTAAATATACTTACTGCTTGTATCTTTCTTTTGGCTGCTGGGAGTTGTTGCCCAATTCACTTTGACTTCCTAAAAAACATTTTTTTCTATATTTAAACTCCATAAGCTTACAGTCAGATATTATTAGATTTACATCTAGGGTTCCATAGGGGAGTATGAGTTTGAGATGAAACATGCAAGAGTAGAGTTCTAGCCTGAGTTTCAATACCCTGTCTTCCAACCAAAAGCATCAGTTTACTTTTCCTTCGTTTATTCTCCCCCTTGATATCCGACATTGCTAGCTGTTTCATTGCACTGCGAGCAAACATTTTTTTAAAGTATCATGTGCACTGCACCATGGCAGAAACTAAGATTTCTGTCCTTAAGAGCTCTATTTCATCCTTTCTATATTAAATAATTAATGGACTCTGCTGTAAAGTTCACCCATTTAAAAAAAGAAATCAAACTATGCATCTTCCAAGTTTCCAGTACAAGTCACCTGTAATTATGACAGCTTACCTTACCCATTATCTTCCGCCCATTCATAGCAGCTAGTGCTGCAGCTGCATGACGATGCTCATAAAACTCCACAAAACAATAGGGATCATTTCCAGCTGTCTGTTGGAGAGAAAACACACAACCAACCTTAAGCTTTATATTCCCAATCCCTTTATTATGGAAAACTTTTTTTTGGAGGGGCGATTTTATACATCTCAGTTGTCAGGCCATGAGGTAATGAAGGTAAGGAAATTTTTAGGCAAGCAAACAAAATATGAATTACTACTATTATTGAAAGCTACCTTCTTCGACAGATTTTATACAATTTAACCTTCTATTAATGACTAAGGAGCCCTGGTGGTGTAGTGGTTAAGAGATGGGCTATGATCTGCATGGTTGGCAGTTTGAAATCAACACCAGCCCCTCGGGAGAAAGATTGGGCTTTCTACGCCAGCTAACCATCTCAGAGACCCACAGGGAGTCACTATGAGTCAGCACTGACTTGATGGCAGTGAGGTGAGGATTAACAACCAAGCATCCAAGTATGAAGGGGTAAATATGTTTCCCCTTATTATCATATATAATCCCTAATTTACAGTATCATTGTTTCATGTATAATTAATAAAATCTTTTTTAAATTGTATATTTCGAACTAATTGCTAAATTGAGTAAATATTCTGGAACAAAGAATATTAATAGGCATTAGACTATGTTAGGTAGCTTTTAAAATTAATCTATGCATATATGTCATGTTTTTATACTCCAAATATAAAATTAAAATGTGTAAATGTATTCCAAATGTGTGAAGAAAATGAAACTTAGATTTGAATTAGAAAAATTTTTGAAGGTGAGCGAAAGTCCAAATTTATAATAAGTAGCAAAGGTTAATCTAAGTAGATTCTTCTGTAGGTCAGGAACCATAAACAATTTGTCTAGTGATCTTTCCCCAGGGAAACCACCGAACCAGCGGTTCTCAACTTGTGGGCTGCGACGCCTTGAGGGATCAAACAACCCTTCCACACGGGTTGCCGGATTCATAACAGTAGCAAAGTTACAGTTAAGAAATAGCAACAAAAACAATTTTATGGTTTGGGGGTCGGTGGGGGTCACCACATGAGGAACTGTACTAAAGGGTTGGGCATTAGGAAGGTTGAGAACCGCTCATCTAGAAGATCTAGAATGGGCCAGACAGGGGAAATACTAGCAACATGTGAACCAATGTAGCTCAGTCTGGATTTAAATCTTTGGTTTATTCAAATCTTCATATATAAAGTGGGAAGAATATTTATTCTGATGTTACTATTGAGGACCTATGATAACTCATCTAAAACAATAAATCTCCAGATTAACCAATCAATTTACATCACCAAATCAACTCATTCCCATCGAGTTGACTCAGTCATTCATAGTCACAAGGGCAGAATCCTCCCTGTGGGTTTTTGAGACTGTAACTCTTTAAGAGAGTGGAAAGTCTGGTCTTTCTCACGCATAGACAGGTGGTTTCAAACTGCTGGCCTGAGGTTAGCAACTCAATGTGTAATGGTTGAGCCATGATGCCTCCTTATTTATACAACATACAAATTATTATGATACCTTGATGTTCCCATCTGTTCTCGATATGACTGTCTCTTCTCTTTTACCTTTAATCAGTAAAACAAACTCATCAACCCCAAACTGATTAAAATCTCTATGAATTTAGATTGCAGAAACCAACTTTAAGATTTGTGGAAATACTGGCTTTAATATATAAAAAAGAAAGTTAACTATGTAAAATACCCTTACATCCATAATCATTTTGCAGTTTTTACAAGGCCCAATTTGGCTAAAAAGCTGGAGAATTAGAGCTTCTGTTACATCTCTGGAAAGGTTACCAACATACCTGAAACAGAGAAAAAGAAGTTGTCATTGTAATTTTGCGTTGATTATTTTTAAGGTTGTTTACAGAAATATGTATTTTGAAATTAATCAGGTCTTTGATTTAAGCTTTAGTAACAGAACAGCTCAAAATAAAGTTTGACAAAACATCACAATCTCTTTCAAAAAGGATACAAAACTTTATTTGCAAATATATTAGACACAAGAATTATTCAATGTTAAAGCCATTAGATGAAAGGCTAGTGTGTAAATTGATAGTCACGTGGGGCCTAGGTTAACACAGATACCACTTACCAATTGCACAGAGGACCATTTTTAAAATGTGAAATTTTGGCCAATACCACTTGGATTCAGTGTTTAAATATCAAGTACTTTTATTTACACTACATGTTCAATATGAAGTATAGTGTCACCTATGAAATATTCAAATAAAAAAGCCTTGGTGGAGTAGTGGTTAAAAACTTTTAACCGCATGGATCAGTAGAGTTCGAATCTACAAGTAGCTCTGAAGGCAAGATGAGGCTATCTGTTCCTATTAAGATTTAAAGTCTTAGAAACCTACAAGGGCAGTTCTAGTATGTCCTATAGGGTCACTATGAGCCTGATATTGACTTGATTGAGGTTGGATTAACCTACATCTAATCAAATTTAAATGTAGTCCAAGTATGCAGGCTATTGCCATAAAAAACAATCATATAAATCCAGTCGTGGGGTACTTTGTAAAATGTTTGTTCTCTTTAAAAGAAAATTAATGTCCAGATTTTTAAAAGGCTGTTCTTAATTAACAGGATTGGCCCTGACAACCAAACACGTAGAATGACCCTTGACTAGGTCCATGGATGATGGAAGAATGTACTGGGACTATGGAGCAATTTCAAACACTTACAGAACATGTACATGTGCCCAGATAATAGTGAGGAAAAGAAAATACGATATAGTTTTTATCTTGATTGGCTGGGAAATATAAAACAATCATGAACACAAGACAGTCATCATGGGGTAACCTGGATAGTTTTAACCTATACTTGCTATGGACATTGAGCATTCAAGATTAGTTGAGAAACAGGCATCTAGCAGAGAAACAACAAGCCCACATGGAAGAAGCACACCAGCCTGCACGTTCATGAGGTGTAACAGGCATCATAAGATTCCAAACAAACAAAGCCATACTGTTGAGAATGAGGGGGGTTGGAGCAGAGACCAGAAACCCATCTGTAGACATTGGGACATCCCCGCACAGAAGGGTCACAAGAAGTGATGAGTCAACCGGGGCATAGTATAGCACTGATGAAACACACAATATTCCTCTGGTTCTTTGAGGGTTCCTCACCCCGCACTATCACTGTGGGCTAGACCAGAGTATACGCACAGGAACAGATAAGAGATAAAGAGCTCATGACACACGGACTCCAAGAACAGGAATGGGAGTAGCGAAACCAGGAGGGTAGAGGGAAGGTGGGAAGAAGGAACTGTTCATCAATTGCAATCATTGATATATAATCACACCCCACCCCCACGAGACAACCAACAAAACCATGGGGAAAGGGGGAGAAAGGGAGACAGCGATTGGTATAAGATATGAAAATAATAATTTATAATTTATTAAGGGATCACGAGGGGGGAGGGGCTGATACTAAGGACTCAATAGAAAGTAAATATTTAGAAAAGAATGATGGCAACATATGTAAAAATATGCTTGATACAATTGATACATGGAAGATACAAGATGAGCCTGAATGAGCCTTCTTGCAGTATCCAGAATGAAACAAGTGCTTAAAAAACTTTTTCTTTTAAAGACATCACTATAGGTAAGACACAGTCACGGATGCTGAAATTAGCTGAAAAAACTTGGAGAATATTTGCGAAGTCTCAAAACATTTAAAGTTATTGGCTTTGAATAATGAATTGGTAGTTTTAGCATATCTACAAATTCTCTGATGTATGTTCTATTAGACTATTAGTTGCCTTCTTCTAGCTGTTTCTGACTCATAGTGACAGTGTGCAACAGAATGAAACACGGCCTGACCCTGTGAGACCTCCTCGTAGTCCTGAGTCCACGACTGCTGTCACTGTATCAATCCATCTCACTGCGGGTCTTCGGTTTTTGCTGACCTTTATCATGCAAGATGTCCTTTCTCCTGGGACTGTTCTCTCCCAATAACAAGCCCATGAGATAAAATCTTGCCATCCTTGCTTCATAGGTGCACTCCAGTTATATTTCTTAATTCTCCTGCAAGTCCAATCTTTAATATTCTTCAAACATCATGGCGTGACCTTAGACCTCAAAATGACATCTTAACACTTTGAATACTTTGAAGAGATGTTTTTTGGCAGATTTGCCCAATGAAATATATCACTTGTTTTCCTGGCTGATACTTCCATGGGTGTTGATTATAGATCCAAGTAGAATGAAATCCTTGGTCACTTCACTCTGTTCTCCATTTACCTCGATACTGCTTATTGATCAAGGTGTGAGGACTTTTATGTTGTAATATAATCCATACTAAAGGAGATCAAAGTCTTTGATATTCATCTTAAGTGCTTCAAATCTTCACTTCTAGCAAGCAAGGCGGGAGCATCTGCCTATCAAAGGTTGTTAATGAGTCTTCCTCAAATCCTAATGTCAACTTCTTGTCACATAGTCCAATTTTTATTATTTGCTCAGCATAGATTGAATAAGTATGGTGAAAGAATATAATAATGTACATGTATTCTGATTTTTAAACTACTTATCTCCTTGCTTTGTTCAATAATCTGCCTCTTGATCTATGTACAAGTTCTGCGTGATTATAAATCACATTTTTTGCAATGTTATCCAAAGTTTGTTTTGATTCATATAGTTGAGTACTTCTGCATAGTCAATAAAACACAAGTAAACATCTTTCTGGTATTCTCTGCTTTCAGCCAACATTCATCTGACATCCCTCATTCTATGTTCTCGTCTAAATCCAGTTTGAATTTCTGGTAGTCCCTGTCGATTTACTGCAGTTTCTGTATTGAAGTCATCTTTAGTAAAATTATAATTACATGTGACATTAATGATGTTGTTCAGGAATTTATGCATTCTATTGGATCACTTTTCTTTGGTACAGGCAGGCATAAAGCTGTCTTCCAAATCTCTTGGCATTGACTTCAGTGCTTCTAGGATTGCATGCAGTTATTGAAACGTTTCAATTGACATTCCATCAATTCCTGGAGCCTTGTTTGTCACTAATGCCTTCAGTGCCTTGAATCTTGATCGCATGCTGCCTGAATGGCTACATGTTAATCAATTCTTTTTTGGTGCGGTATTTCTTCCATCTTCTATTGATGCTTCTTGAGTCATTCAATTTTTGCCTCCAAATTCCTTTAATACTGTAACTTGAAACTTGCATTTTCTTCCTCCAGATCCTTCAGCTTGAGGAAGTCTGCCTTGGTTTCTTAACCCTAAGTGTTTGCATTTTTTCCCTTATAATGCATGACTGTCTTTTCAAGTCTCACTCTGAAATCTTCCACCAGCTCATGTCTCCCATTTGCTTTCGATACCCTACATTCAAGAGCAAGTTACATCCGTGTTGGTCTTTTTCTTTCTTACTTTTTAATGACCTTTTGATGTCTTCCCCTAAGATGTTCTTGATGTAATACCATTATTGTTTATCTAGTTTTCAGTCACTGGTATTTAATGCATCTAGACGAATTATAAGATGGTCTCTAAATTCATGTGGGATATAGTCAAGACTGTACTTTTAGCAATCATGAACTTGTTTTCATTTTCTTCAACTTGACATACCTTTGTAAATAAAACCTAATTATTGTTGATTTCATTCTCACATGCTACACCTGATCCTCTGGTAATTACTATTGCTCTATTTTCTAAACATATCTGGAATCTAATCACTTCTCCCCTCCCAAAAGAGCATACTTTCTAAGGCATTTTCTCTCTTACCTGTTATTGTCAAAATTGCTTGACTAATTTTTTATTAATCTACTACTTGTCCATTTTTTTCTGCCCCTTTAAAGGTTAGGAGTATTACCACCTCCTCTATTTAAAACCTCTTGACTTCCATTTGCCCCCAGATAAAAGGACACCGCCCTCCTAGAGCCCTGCAGGAACGTGAGTTTTCAATCCTCCTTTCTATGTTCCAGGAGTCCATAGTGGGCTGTGTGTTGGGTTGCTAATCCCAAGGTCAGTAGTTCAGCAGCTCGTCACTTCCTGGGAGAAATAAGAGATGTTCTATTCCTGTAAAGAAACCCACAGGGGCAGTTCTATTGCTTAGAGGCCCTCTCAGAGCCACAAAAGACTTGATGGCAGTGAACATGGAGTTTGTGGTTTCCCATGTTCACGCTCCCGAGGCTACCCCTGAGGGTCTTATTGCTTGTTATCAAAGAATGCCATTTCTTTACTACTTTAGAAATATTAATACTTCCCCACCTTCCCTACTCAGGAATCCTGGCAGTGTGATGGGTTAAGAGTTGGGCTGCTAACCACGGTCAACAATTCAAAATCATCAGCATGCAGTAGATGAGGCCTTCTGCTCCCATTAAGACTTATAGTGTCAGAAACTCAAAGGGGCAGTTCTACTCTGTCCTATCAGTCACTATGAGTCGGAATTGATTTAATGGCAGTAAGAGTGAGACCTTCTTATTTGGCATTATTTTTCTCGTTAGCATGTATTACCATGTAACATATTTATTTATTCATCACCTTCCTTTCTATAAGGTGAGCTCTTAAAAGGTGTTATAATTACTGTTGTATCTGGTATCTAGAGCATGACAGGTGGTATGCTGTCAAATACTGTTAAATGGATGTTTCTAGTATATGCTTAATTACCAATAGTTACTAATAGTTATGTGGAAACAGGGAAAATATTATCTAGTATACCCTCTCTCCTCAATTATGAAATTACCTGTAACGACTTGAAAAAATATCATCCAACACACCTGTCTTCTCACTATCAACAGGGCTAGGTCTCAAAGACCAGTCCATGATGGAAAAATGTGTCATGTGACAATGGAGAATAAGCCCATCAGATCACAGGAGGAGGGATGACAACATCAACAGAGACTACTGTCATCCAGTAAGAGGCACGGCCCACCTAACCCTATCCGTCACAGTCAAGAGTTTATTCTTGCCTCACACCTAGGCACTTGTTCCTGCCACGCACACTGCAGAACAGATATTTTACTGCTGTAATAAATGTGACATGCTGGATAGAGTCAATAAAAGAAAGGTGTATTTAAATATCTGATTTAGTGGTCTGCCCTCAATGTTATCATCTGATGAGAACAGTAAGAGTGAAAAGACTAGCTGAAGCAATCAACACACAGAACTGCTAGGGCATCACAAACGATAAAGCCAAAGGTCCATGGAGAGGAGTGGGATGGGTAATAAGAGTAAAGGGTAAGTGCGAGGTGACAGAAAGGTGAGGCCCACATTAATATACAGCAATTATTTAGTTGTAGGCTTTTAAAGTTTTCTACAACTTAGCGAACTGCATTCTTAGGATATGTGAAACCTGTAAAATAATTGTATAAAACCTGTGGCATTAAGTCAATTCTGACTCACAGCAACCCTAAAGGGCAAAGTAGAACCAATCCCTAGTGTTTCTAAGACTCAGTATTAATGCAAACAGAAAAGACTCATCTATCTCCTTTAGAGCAGATGGTGGGGCTCAAACTGCCAACCTTGTGGCGAACAGTCCAAAACAATAACCCACTATCACTAGGGCTCCGTCAGTAAGTGTACAGCTATCTCAAAAAAGGGTGAATACCCATAAACATTTGAGAGTACATTAAATAAAAGATGTTACAGATACTTGGATTTGCAAGAATTAATGCCCATCATCTAACACCAATGGTATTTTTTCTGGTGTGTAGCTTCAACTAATTCAATGATTTAAAAGTGACCAAAGGTCAATTCAGACTATTTAAAATACTCACCAGAGAGGCAGCCTCGGTAGTACAACGGTTAAGCACTCAACTGCTAACAAAAGCATGCCAGTTTGAATCCACCAACTGCTACTTGGGAGAGTGATGTGGCAGTCAGCTTCCATAAAGTGTACAGTGTGAAGCCCCTATAGGACAGTTGTTTTGTCCTATAGGGTCACCATGAGTTCACTGGACAACAGGATTGGTTTTTCAAATCAACCAGGTAAATTTTTCTAGAAACAAAGGTCATCCACTAAGTGCTACATTGTTTCAAGGTAAACTGCAGGTTACCATATAAACTAACAGTAACTATTAAATCAAGGAAGTCTGGTTATACGGGTCAGGTTACATATAGATCATAAATATTAACTTAAAACAGAGGTTTCTGAAGATTTTAAAAATTACATTGGATTTCCTAACAGCTGTAAAGCTACAGAGTTACCCAAAGAGAGCTAAAATCGCATTTTTCAACGCAGAGTGTTCTCAACCCGCCAATATTCCAGAAGTAAAACAAAGGGCCACGTCAAAAACTCTTTGAGCTTTTCCTTCATTTCTGAGAAAAGCCAACAAAGGCAGGATCCCCTCCCCCGACAATACTTGGATCGACAAAAGGAGAAAACAGTGGGAACTTAGACGACAAAGAAAACAGCTTAGGGTGAGGGCCTTGAGCTCCCTAAACCCTTGCACCGCACTCAAAAGACCGAGGCCTTTATCAACTGTTGCTTCCTAAAAACTGCCCGTTGGCTCGGCAGCACGTCCATCACGAGCAGCACGGGCTGATGGAGACGCACGGAACCCGCGTCCCCTCGGCGGAGCACGACCCCGGCGGGAGACAGGTCCGTTTTGGACAAGCCTCGGGCTGCCCGCCCGCCCGGGGAGGGTGATGGGGGGCGAGGGGCCGCGACGCAGAAGGAAGGACAGCGGGACGGAAACCAAC